TGTTCCTGCTCTTCGCACCCGGCCCGGCCCGGCCCGGTTTGGCTCGGCTCCGGCTCCGGCTCCGCCGCCGCGAGGGGTCCGGCCCTGCTTCGCGCTTCCGGCGCGGGGAGGCGCTGTGCTGCTGCCCGTCCCTTCCCCGGGAGGGCGGCTGAAGTTGTCGGTTCCTGATTCCCGGTTCCTTTTTCGACGCTGATCTTGAGCGCCATAAAAGACCGGTCGCGATGAGGTCGACAAGCCGAAGAGTTTGTTGTTGTTGTTGTTGTTATTAGTATATTGACTAATAAGTTTTTTATTAGTATATTTACTAATACAAATGTGAAATCGTGTCGTGTTTCAAGTACGTAGCCCTGAATAAAGAGTTGAGATCCGGCTGGGATTATTTCTCCTCACGTTCGAACTCTTTCGCTTGTCCAGTTCATCGCTGCCAGCCTTTAATTGTGTCTGTGATGAGTTGGGAACAAGGAACTGGGACTAAGGAGCTGGCTTCAGCCTCATCCTTTCCCCAAACTCCCAGTCCCTGTGTTAATATTTCTGGGGGCGGGATGCTCTCTCTTCTGCTGTGCCTGTGAGTGACTGTCAGGGGTGTAGGCTGTAGCTGTGCTGGTCTAAGGACATATGCAGACAAGGTGGTAAATCCAATATCTTTTCATAGATTTCATAGACGTTAGGGCTAGAAGGGACCTCATAAGATCATCCAGTCCAGCCCCCTGCCCAAAGGGCAGAAAGTCAGCTAAGGTCAAAGGATCCCAGCAGATAAGCATCCAAATGTTCCTTAAAAGAATAGTTGGAAAAAAACTTTTATTAACCAAAGACCCTTGTCTGCCTGTGAGTAACTTTAGTATACGGTGTCTAAACGGTAGCCTCTGAATAGGGCTAATGGGGGTAAAGCATTTTATGATGGAGCTTGATCCACTTAAGAAGGGGGTTATGTAGCAGGGGGTTAGACTCAGTGACTTAACGTGTCTCTTCCAGTCCTACTAACATTTCTTTTTTTTAGTCCTCGTCCCTGCGTCAGTCCAGCGTGTTTGCTGTTACTGAGCTTTTCCCCAGCAATGGAACAGAATTAACTGATAGTTTCGCTGATAGCCATCAAGTCCTGAGAAGTAGTGCAGTGAAAATGTAGTGCTGTTTGCTGTTCCTGGGGCATTAAACCAGGCTGAATATAGATGCAGAAGGACTGAATAAGCCAGGCTGAATAAACCAGACTCAATAAATCAGGCCAAATATAGATGCAGAAAGACTGGACTAATCCATTAATGTTTGGCAAGTTTGGGGGTTTTGTGTGTGTGTGACCACATGATAGAAACTTTAATGAAAATGCATCTTCCATCTCACAGGGGTTTAGGTTGTAGCCGTGTTGGTCTAAGGACATAGGCAGACAAGGTTCCTTGGGTGAATTTCATATCTTTTATTAGACCAACCCAAATGGTTGGAGAATAGTTATTAAGCAAACTTTCGGGTTCAAAAACCCTTCGTCAGGCTAAGGAAGCTTCAGCAGTTGGTGTCAATGTAGCAGTCAAGGTTAGGGTTTCGTCCACTGCGAGGTGTCCAATCTGATATTTTTTGGGGCTTTTTGGCATTGATCCTTTCCTGAATGTTGTCAGAGGATGAGTTGTTGTTGGGAGTGGGTTCAGTTTGGTCGTGGAAATATTCTTTGAGGCGCAGGTGTCGGAAGAATTCTTCTAGTTCTCCACATTGAAGTATTTTATTAGGGTATTTTTCTGGACAGAAATTTAGGCCTTACTCCTAGCCACCATCTTCTGGGTTTGCAGCCAAGCATGTGGGGGGCTCCCCTGCACTCCTGTGGGGTGCTCCATCTGCCCCACCATTGCAGCATTCACGAGCTATGCCTGGTACCTTGAGGTATGTAGAAAAAACATTTAAAGCTGTGTCCATGGCTGAATTGAATCACTGTCCCTGATTTGGGCCGAATCCGAATCCAAATAAAATACGGCCCGTTTCACACACCCCTATAAAGCATCACTTCAGAACTGTGCTTTTTAAGTTAATGAGCATTAAAACAGGCTAATACACATTTTTCTAGTACCTCAAAATGAAGGTTGTATATTTAATGCACATTAACTAAAGTACAATAATGCACATGTAGATGCACCCACAGATTATGGCACCCTATCTATTCTATCTAAATCAATTGAAGTCAGTTGAAGTTATTCCATTGACTTCAGTGTCCTCTGGATTCATCCAGTAGGGAGCAGAATCCTCAGTGCTCTGCAAGTCTGCCTACAAGTTCTGGCAGTGTTTTGGGGCATGCCCTGGTTCTTGATAGCACTTTAATGTGGTATCTAAAAGGATGACTTGCTTGAAGCCCCTCCATTTCTGAGTGTGACCTATGAAGTGGATGTCACAATGGATGTCATGTTACATGAAGTGGTATGAAATGATGGAATGAAAAAGGCTTATATTGGATTATGCATGACTTAAAAAAATCTTGTACAGGAATTTTCTTCCTTGTGTTTTTTGACATTTTATTTTATATGTAGTTTACAATTTTATTAAAAGATTATAAGCAACAAAGCAATAAAGAAACAGAAAGGGCCCACACACAGAATAAATGTAGCAATACTCTGTAAACTTTCAAAAGAAGAGCTACATTGAAAAGCCACCACAGTATAACAGTAAGTATGGACTTAAAAAACAATTGACATATGAACTGAATTCAGACAGGCCGATATCTGCAATTAAGCTCTCTGATCTGTGCAAAGATGGGGGGAAAACAAGATTAATAAGGACAAAATAATCAAGCACAATGAAATCCATCAAAGACAGAAGCACCCAATTACCGGTGGGGGCACATTTCTCACAGGAGGGCCACTCTCTCTCCAATCTCTCAGTCCTGATCCTCAAGGGAAATTTACACAACACTTCCCAGAGACGAGCCTATGAGCTCCATTTCATCAACCTGCTGGATACTAGAGATCATGGACTAAACATAGACATTGGATTTTTGATACATTACAATCTGCCTGGCAACTGACTCCCCAGCCCAGCCCAGCCCCTGGCTTCTTTACTTTTCATTCCATCCAGGAAGAGCACACACCAACTGCTGACACTTCCTTAGCCTGACGAAGGGTTTTTGAACCCGAAAGCTTGCTTAATAACTATTCTCCAACCATTTGGGTTGGTCTAATAAAAGATATCAAATTCACCCAAGGAACCTTGTCTTCCATCTCACTGTACTTGATAAGGAAAGTTTCTTATTCACCAACAATAACGATTGGCTCTTTCAAGGCCTGCTGTAGAATAGTATATAATTAGTTGGCTGAGGTTTTTAGAAGTTATTTTAGGAGAGAGAATTCTATGTACTCTATTTGGTGACTTCCAAACTGTGAGAACAAAACAAATAATTTACATTCCCCAGCAAGCTAAAATTAAATTATTTTTATTGTACCATTACATCACTATGTGGCCAATTATTGTGTTACCAGCATGGGACTGACTATGCAAATCAGATGAAGTAATACGAATATGACTATGCTCGCATCCATGTTAGTCTCTGAATGTGTCCAATGCTACCTCAATGTTTCCAGCAACCAGGATGGATTTACACTGAGTGGGATGTTTGTGTAGTTATGTGTTGTACGTTCTCTCTGATCAAGCTCTTGAATACTTCATAAGTGCTGCATGCATCACAGCCAGTGTTTTGATGATGTCACGCTTGGGGACTGTGGGACACATCTGGCTCATGGAGCCAGCAGAGAGGCTGGGAATTTGGCTGCAGGGCTTGCAAACAAAATCTGGACTGCGGAGCTATGTTGGCAATGTGTCAGTGGCAGGGGCGAGCAATGTTACCACCGTGTTGATCTGGCCCACAAGGAGCCCTGCAGTCTTCATCCAGCCTTGGGGGATGGTGAGTTTGGGACCCCGATGTAGATGATAGGGATTCAACAATCTAAACTTGCAGAACATTTAGAGTATTTAAATATTTATTTATCCAGCTACGTTGGATATGACTGAAATTCTTTAAGAACGGGCTATGGACAGGAATGTTCAGCATGCCAGCAAGAGAAGAAAGTTTACTCGATCCTTCCTAGGCAGTCCTGGGTTTGTAAAAATTGCCTTTTCTTAGAGCTTTCCTGTTCCCAGACGTTGCACTTGTTTAACTGGA